TATTAAGCGACAAAGAAAAGCTCTCCACAAAAATTCCCATTGACAGTTTATGTCTCAGAGCTGTTGCATTCACAACAGTTCACAGCATGGCTTGTTTTTGGTCAATATTATTTCGAAAAAAATTTGTGCTAAAAAAAAAGACTAAGTTTTAAAATAACATTTTAAATAGCAATAAAATAACATTATACTACAATTTTTAGTAAAACCAAGAGCCTCACCTTGTCTTAACAGTCTTTTATCTCCCTGGAACTTCATCAAAGTCATATGAGGTTGCCATGCCCTGCAGTCTGTACTAACAATCCCTCTTTCTTCCATCTGCTTAGTAACTTCCTCTAGAACAGACAAGAATGAACTACAAACTCAAATATGATGTATCTGACCCAGCAAGCAGTACTGTCTTGTAACAGAATGCACTATTTGCTGATGCAACTGTTGTTCTTGTCATAAATGATAGACCCATTCCTTCTCTCTGGTAGTAAATGTGACCTAAATTATGCTGATTCCACAGGAGCTTCTAGAATGGACAAATGTTATGTGGCTAAATACTATAAAAAAAAAAAACCCTTTCAGCTTAAGTAAATTAACATAAAATATATAGAACTACACACCCAAAAAAATCTAGTCCAATAATAATCAATTATGCTTGGTCACAATCAGATATACCTCCTAGAACGCTCAGATCATCAAGTGACAAAACAACCCTTGTTAAAGCTAAAATAAATTACAAATCATATGGCCAACGCTCTTTTTCAAATTTTGCCCCACTTGTTTGGAATAGGCTTCCAAAAACTATCAGAGAAGCAGAAAATCTAGTAATTTTTAATTTAAGAAGAAACTAAAAGCATTTCTCTTTTCATCATATTTCGATTAGACAGAATCCATCCAAGCTGTAGATTGTTGTGAGTTTGTATGTGTGCGTATGTGCATATGTACGTATGTGTGTATGTATGTGTGTATGTGTGTGTGTGGTGTGTGCGTGCGTGAGTATGTGTGGGCACGCGTATGTAACACTATGTGCCTTTAAAATTGATTTGTAAATCCATAATATGTATCATGTTAAGCGCATAGAGCATTGCATAAGTGGATATGCGCTATATAAATGCAATCCATAATTCATTATTATATTAACCCTATCCATACGCCCTGGGGTCATTTTGTACCCCAGGGTTGTATTCTTCACATTTTAGAATACTTCTAGATCTAGTACGAAGATCTCTTTGAAACTTTCAGTATTTCTCAAAAAATATTTTGACAGACTGCTATGCAAAGCGTACGGATTTGATTAACAAGTAAATTTTCTCTTTGAAAGAGGTGGCACAGAGTTCCCCACGTCGTATGGATACAATAGTAAAACACGACGTACGGATAGGGTTAAACAAACAAAAGTCAACCATTATCTGTCACAATCAGATAACAAATAAACAAAAGTCAACAATTATCTGTCACAATCAGATAACAAATAAACAAAAGTCAACAACTATCTGTCATAATCAGATAACAAATAAACAAAAGTCAACAACTATCTGTCATAATCAGGCAACAAGCAAATAAAAGTCAATGATAATCTGCCACAATTTCACCTGCTATTTGGTGCAGCTGAGTGAATCCCTCTGACTCATTCAGACAGGCGTACAGAACTCGTCCTCCACTAAATGCTGAAAGACCTTCAAACTCCAAGGCTAACGCCTGTCCTGACAGCAGCGTCTTTACAGCTGGGACACACTGATCTAAGCTTTCAGCCGCTCTGAAACAAGAGTCAAAACGTTATGTTAAAAAAAAAAAAAGTATATTGGCTTTACGTTAAAGTAGGATGGAGAGAGATCAGGACGACAAAAAACAAAAAAACTGGGATTAAATTTAAACAATGATGACTTTTGCAAGAAAACAAAGGCAATTTTCGAAAAACAAATTTTAGGTCTTTTCTTTATCTTTGGAAAATTCTGAATAAAGGCTATAGCACATTCCCTGAAGTTTAAAATGCCCTGCAAGGTTAGTGTGCTATTTTCTTTATCTTAGACAAACAGAACTGCTCCCTGCAGTTAGCAATAAGACGCTTTGCCATCAGACACAGAAAAGGGGGCATTTTATTCAAGTATTTCTGTTTTTCCTCTGGGGCGTATATCCCTCTCAACTTGGAATGGCCCTGACAGGCAGGTCCGAAGTCCGCCTCCTTAAGTACCTAAATTGTGTCGATGGAAGCATAAAACACCTACATTAAGACTTTTTTTTAAAAACAATGTTTTTAATATGAAAAAAACCCAACTCACATACAGACAGACAAAGAAACAACTAACCTCTGAACTTCTTCTTCATTGGCAAGATGCATGACCATAAGAGTGATGTGGAATTTCTCTGTTCCGATGAAAGCTGCATCATAATCAACAGTAGCTGCATCCTGAATGCCCTTCTTGATCTTCTTGGCTACATCGGATATCTGAGAGCATGAGTTGTAGTTTTGGTTGTGAATGATTTATCACTCTTCTAGATACAAGCAGTTGAATTTCAAAGGCTGAGCCCAACTCTTATCTTGATAATATACATACGGTACAAAAGATCAAGGCCTGAAATCTTATGGAATTTTATGCTGTCTATTTTTATGCTAGTATTGAAAAAGGGTGACATTATTTAGGCCACATATGGCCTAAATAAGCTAAACCCCCCTCCCTAAACTTATTTAGGCCACATATGGCCCAACTAAGCTAACCCCCCCCCCTCCCTTATCATGTTTAGGCTACATGTGGCCTATATATAAGCTAACGCCTAACCTGACCTTATTTAGGTCATATGTATATATATATATATATATATATATATATATATATATATATATATATATATATATATATATATGAGGAGTATATGTATATATATATATATGTGTGTGTGTATATATATATATATAAAACCCTCTTCACATCCATCTTCCATCACAGCAGGACATGTAATAAATCTAGAATCAATTTAAGGTTCTTTTCTGTTCTACGAATCTGCAGTTAAAAACCTGTGCTGTTGGTACATGTCTGAATTACCCGCACTGAATTTATTAATAAATGTGTATTTTCTTTGAAAGTGGATAGGTGGACCTCGGGGTGTAGCCTAACACTGTCTAGCGTTAGTGGTAGGGTAAGGCAAAGTTTTAAAGAGAAAAAAAAACATGGTGAGTAGACTCGGTTCAACATTATTCTAGTTAAACTTCTACCTATATACTCTTTTTTTAATGGTTTGTTTAATTTTTAATTTTCAATTTTTTGGGGGGGTTTTGGTGTAAATCATCCTCGCAAACATAAAATGTGTTTAACTGAATCTAAAGTAACACTGGCACCTGGCAACACTGAATGTCTTTGTATTTTGAGGGTTTGAAATAACAGATTCAAATGGCAGGGTTATGCTGATAGGCTAGTCCTAACATATAGACATTAGATCATGTATGCAGTTGTTTGTTTGTTCGTTTTTTAAGTAGATTTCTAGAACTAACCATGGATTCACAAGATCGAGATTCTACTGATCTTATATTTAGTGAGAGGGATTATTTCAAAATAGAGGAATGATTATGAATGAAAAGTGGACAAAGGGTAGGAGTTGAGTGTGTGTGTGTGTGTGTGTGTGTGTGTGTGTGTGTGTGTGTGTGTGTGTGTGTGTGTGTGTGTGTGTGTGTGTGTGTGTGTGTGTGTGTGTGTGTGTGTGTGTGTGTGTGTGTGAGTGCGCACGGGGGGAGGGTGAATTTGTGTATGTGTGTGAGTGTGTGTGAGTATGTGTTTGTGTTTGTGGTTGACGTGAGAGAGAGAGAGAGAGAGAGAGAGAGAGAGAAAGAGAGAAAGAGAGTAAATGTAATAGTGTGTTTGTATGTGTGAGAGTGCGTGTGTGTAATGTGTGTAAGTGCGTGAATGTTATTGTGTGCGTGAGTGTCTATCGGAGTTGTACTGCCCAAATGTACATAATTTTGTTGAGAATTTTACATAGAAAGCACACAACTACAAAACACCTCTGTACAAAGTCAAAGAAATATTTTTTGGGGTATTTATAGAGGTACAGTACAGGGTGATTTTAAAAATCACCCACAAGGATAATCGAACAAAATGGGCAATATCTTTACTGCTAATGGTCATATTTAGACAAATCCTACATCATTCTCTTTGTTTTTCTTAACTGCTTATGATTTTTTGAGAGTAAGCCAGCCAACAAGTTAGTAATTTCCTATTTTTATGGGCATTCTTAAAATTTAAAAACTTGTTTTTAGTGCTTTTCTCATGTAAAAAAAAAAATCAATGACCATAAGTCAGCTCCTTATCCTTCTTTTTCAATGTATTGTGCATACATTTTTGTGAAACTATATTTGGGGCCTCTTGTGGCCTAAACGTTAAGGTGTTCGCCTCTCATTCAAAGGTCCCGGGTTCGAATCCGGGTAGCGATCAAACAATTTTCTTCTCTAAAATTGTCTCCTTTCACCTTCTTTCCTGCTCTCTAGCAATGTTCTGTCGTCTGCTTTCGTCTCCACCTTCTGCACCTACCCCCTCACCCCCTTTGCCCCCTCCTCTGGGCTTATTTATGACTCTTTCTGCAGCCTTTCACCTGCTACTTCTTGGCTCCTTCTTACTGCTGTCTTTCAGCCACACTCCTAATTTTTTGGTAGGAAAGATCTACACCTAGCCTTCTTGGACAAGGGCAAAAAAATCTCGGAGGTAGGCCTACCGTGTGCAAGTTGCGCACGTTAGATCCCTTGGAGGTCTAAAATCAATAAGAGTAGGCTTCGGCCGCCGCCAGGGAAAAATGCACAATTTCTTATCAGCTGAAAAAGCTTAATGTGTTGCGCGCGCTCATATGACCTTATGCAGAGAAGAAAATTTTTCGGTCGCTACCCAGATTCGAACCCGGGACCTTTGAATCAGAGGCCAACACCTCTAGGCCACGAGAGCCCCCAAACTAGACCTGGAATACAAAAATGCAAACAACTACTAGCTCTATATATGTAAAAGTGAAAGTGTGAGACAATTCTGTACTCAACACAACAGTTCTGGAAAAGAAAAAAGCTTGGAGAATATATTTCTCCAATAATAACCAAACCTGTCTGAGACAACCACTGGTTATCAAGGAGAAAAGTTGTCTTCTTAGATAGGTTGTCCTCTTGAACAGTGTAATTTTGACATGAAAAAAAACACAAAAGGGGATGTGGGAAGTGGTCATTTGTACACATGGTTGGGATGAGTGGTCATTAGAGCAGGTTCTACTGTACAAAACTAAACACTGAGAAATGATTAGGCTACATCGAAACAGAGTACATGTAAATGGAAATCTGTGACTCCCTTGAAGTAGCACGCCTGCATCTTGCTTTATAATAGATTTAATAATAATAATAATAATAATAATAATTATTATAATAATAATTATTATTATTATCATCATCATCATCATCATCATCATGATAACGATAATACTAATACTAATACTATAATAGCACTTTCTGTCCCATAGAGTTTTTTCAACTTTACTACATACCTGAGGGTCAGAGACCTGAACTGCTACAAAATAGTTTGGCCTAGTCTTCCGTCCTCCCTTGCTGTCTCCTTCCTCGGGTGACTGAGAAGAGTTTTTCCATCTCCTTTTGCCAGAGGCTTCTCGGAGCTAGAGAAATGGGGAAAGAAAGGAACCTCAAAGTCCTGTTTTTCTGTTATAGTAAGAGTTTTACGGCACTTGCAACACAATTAGGTCATATAAGTGCCGAAGATTAAAAGTGTTACAACTACAAGAGAGTAACAAACACAAAAAAAGAAGGAGGAGGAGATAAAAATGATAAATGTTCTCCAACAGGAAAGAAGGAGCAAGCCACACCAGAGCACACAGCAACCACCCACCCTCAGAGTGAGACACAGCTAGCACATCTACGCAACTTTTTATTGATTGTTACCAGTATTCATTGGTTACTAAACGCACAACTGCACAATTTTAAAAAATATATTTGTTAATTATGCAACAATTAGCACACTACACAATGTGTGTTGTTTGATATAATTTATTAGGTAGTACATATTTTTAAGCCCCTGTTTACAATATACAACATGGATGATTTTGGATAGTGGCTTACGGCCTAGGCGATCTACTTTCCACCCTGCCTCTCAATGCTAACCGTTCCTGTCGTGCACACTGCACACATCACCACAAACATGGAGACACTCGATAGGAATTCTTCACTTCTTCCTGGTAACTCAACTCATGTCGTTTGTGTATTATTATAGTATTGGATGAAAAGCAAAATCAATACATCACTGACGCCAGCCATTCCAGTAGCACTTCAGTAGAAACTATATTCGCAGAAAGTTCGACTTTAACTTTAATGGAAAGAGAGCGAAGCGATGGGCCTTTAGCGAGAAGCACACATTTTTTAAAAATACATGTAGTGTGTAGGCCTAGCAAAGATGGGCCTAGTCCTCGTCCTTTAGTGATAACCGATGATAAAGCCAGTTATCAGCAACTACTAGTTAAACACAATTTTTGCGAAATTTCCGTTGGGGAAAAGCCCATTGATGTACGCTATGTCAGTGATATCAGTATTGATTTTGTAGAAAGAGCAAAGGGGTGTTTGAATCGATAACTAAGGTAAACATTTTCTCAGTGCCTGCAGTACCCCTAGCATCAGCAGCAGCGATGTGACGTCTTGTCGTCAATGCTGGAGCACGAGGCCCCTATCACTATCATGCACCTATTTTTGTCTTTTCCGAAAGTCAATTTAAGTGACTTGAATTAATCTTTCCCCCAATGGAAATGACCAAGTAGAAGATTTATACTCAAAGAGAGCTAGTTTAGCTTATGCAGCTTTATTTTTGTGAAAATAAAATCATAATAAGCTTACTGAAGTTATTTTTTTTCTTAGAAGAAGAAAGAAACAGAAGGAAAAAAAACTCGAAAAAGTGCTGCAAGTCCCCGCACTTCAGTCCAAGAAGACAACATGAAGAATAGAGAACGAGGCAGTAGGAGAAAAAGAGGGAGCAAGAGGGATGAGGGAAAAAGGAGACAGGTGACATTGAATCAAAGAGGTTATTGCTAAGGCTCTCGCACTGAAATACATAATATGCAATATGCACAGATTTCAAGTGAGAGAGAAAGAGAGAGAGAGAGAGAGAGAGAGAG